TTGTATCCATAAGCTGTACTTTGGAAATTTATATTCATTAAATAAAAGTTTAAAAAAAATCCCATTTTTCTAGACATGAGGTGATAGTAGTGCTGCATAGATAAATTAAATGCCATCATGAGTCATACACGTGATCTTTCATGTCACAGCACACCTTAATCTACAGGGCACAGTCTTGGGAAAATGCTATTTCAATTGGCAGAACTATTTCAACATGCCCTCTAGTGGTAGTTTGGTAGCTATAAACTTGTTATATGTTTATAACCCAGGGTGGATACACAGAAAGTCATAAAAGCAATGTTTTAATTTAACTTCAACTGTTGTCAATTTTTACAACATTGTGAAAAATAGTCTGAAGTTTTCGTTTTATCATTAAGGAATTTCCCACCATCAATATCTTGCACGACACCTGTAACCCACTAGAAAGTTCTGTCCTACCATCACATTCAGAAAGAGAATGTGGCATTACTGTTTACTGATCTTAGTTATATTTACATGTAATCTGAGAAAGCTGATAATCTAACACAAACTAATGCATGTCGATTCAAGGAGTCATGGGATAGCGTTTGTGTGTGTAATCACATAGGATACACACACACATACACACATTCTCCTGTGCAGGTCATGTAATCACATAGGGACACACACATGCTCCTGTTCAGGGGGTGGGTGTATGTGTGTTGGGGGGCATTTTTGTTCTCTCTCATGTCACGTTGCATAGTTTACAGTCTATTTTAAATGTAAGTAACTGTAAGTATGCAGTAAATATTTGCTTTGTGAATTATAAACATACACATTCTTTAATCATGAGTGGGATGTGTGTCACAGTGGTAGAAACAACTGGGAAGCAGACGTGAGGATAGGCCAAGGTCAACATAGAACAGAGGGGATGAACAGGAACTGGGGAGAGAAAGCATTTTCTTACTGTTGTAATTACGCAGATCCCAGGATGGCTTATGGTTTTGAGGAAGAGCTGGCTGCCAGAAGAGGCCCTCGCATGTGCTTGTGCCCAGGCTGGGCTTCATTCCTTCATGGTTTGCCCTCCAGAAGCCAAAATCGATCGAATAGTGCTGCTGACCATCTACACAGCAGTATCTTTCTTGCCGGGAGCCTCTCCAGCTCACCGTTTACCTTCAGCTCCTGTTCTGTCTTCTATTTCCACCTGATCAGGAAGTGTAGTGACATCATCCTACAGAGACCACATCTCTCCATTCCTTTGACATTTATAGAATAATAATAAACATGTTGCTCAACAAAGCAGGATACCAGCTCCTATTTAAGCTTCTAGAGCATCTCTTGTTTGAGCCAGTAGAGAGATGCCCTTTTCCTACTTCACTGCTCTTACCCAGAATGAGCTCTGATGTTCCCGCCTGCAAAACTGGGCGTGGTACTCCCTTTCCAAGTTACTTAGGGCTCCAGGTAGTTTATGTTTTGTTTTTAGGTTTCTGTTTGTTTAGTTCAGCAAACAAAAATGCATCATGTATACAGCTCAGTTATTCTGTGTAATGTTAGGGTAAGTTGAATTAGAAAATATAATTTAGTCAACAACATTTGTTAGTCAACTGTTGTTAGTTAAATGACTAACAGTGCTGTCAGCAACAGCACTGATTTACTGTATGTGCTTTCAGAATTAGTTATAGCCTTTTAACCACTTGAGGCCTGGGTTGTCCTTTTCTCCAGTTTATAAGAAAAAACTAAAATGTACAGTACTGGAGTAAAACATGTTTAATGCTTATTGGCTTTTTAGTGTCCAGTAAATATGGAAAAACTCATTTCCCAAAATTTTGCCAATAGAAAAAACAAATACACAGGCTAAAAAAATCTTGTTTTTGGTGACTCTTTGTGTATTTCGAGTGTGTCAAGGAGGAAATTCTGGGTTTGAATCTAGGTTTCTAGACTTAGATCAAACTCTAATAAAATGTGTGGCCCTAAAACCTTACACAGGAAAATGTTCTCCTTTCTAAGTCATGGATTTGAAATGCTAGAACTTGTCTCCTAATGAGAATCACTGAAGATCTTAAACAAATGATCCCAAAGAAAACAACAACTATACAATAGCATGCTTACTCAGGTGAATCTGAGCAATAAGGTGTGAAAACTACTAGAATTGGATCACTCCGAAAATAGGTTTTCAACAAAATTGTAAAATCTTTGTGGACAAACACCATACATAATTGATCTGAGGTGATCAGTCCAGTGCTGTCCTATGCCCAACAATCAACAGATGTTTATTAAATTGAGTTTCATTGTATATACTAATATGGTTGGCAGTTTTCTGTTTCTGCTGACACTTTGCAGGATTTTGAAATATTGACGATACTCACACATCAAAAGTTGTTGACAAATAAAATTAGAGCAGGTAAAGAACACACTAAGGGCTGGTGCTGTGGCGCATTGGGTTAGGGCCCTGACCTGAGGCGCTGGCATCCCATGTAAGCGCCTGTTTGGATCCTGGCTGCTCCACTTCCCATCCAGCTTCCTGCTGGTGCGCTGGGAGGGCAGCAGAGGATGGCCCAAGTGATTGGGTGCTGCACCCACATGGGAGACCTGGAGTGGGAGAGGGGCTTCTGGATCCTGGCTTCTGTCTGGCCCAGCTCTGGCCATTGCAGTCTTTTGGGGAGTGGATCAGCAGATGGAGGACCTCTCTGACTCCACCTTTCTCTGTAGCTCTGCCTTTCAAATAAATAAAAACAAATCTTAAAAAAAGAACACACTAAACTAGAATTGCCTTAATGTGACAAGATTGTTTTTAAGGGTTTATAAATAACAGGGTCAAAGAGGCATATAAGAAAACCTATAAAAAGGAGTTGCTAAGTAATAGCGACCGACATGCAGAAGGTGGATCTGCAAGAGCAGAGAACTGGGCAGAAGGTAGACTGTTAATTCCTTGTAATTGTATAGTGCTTTACAACTTGTAAATTGCATTAACCTAGGATTGGTGAGGAAACTTTTTTCTGCCAAGGGCCATTTGGATATTTATAACATTCTTTGTGGGCCATACAAAATGATCAACGATTAGCCTGATATGCAGTGAATTTTGAATCCTGTCTGCTGTTGCCTTGATAGGGCCAGACCAGAGGATTGCAAAGGCATCACACAGCCCCAAGTTTCACAGTGCTGCTACGTACAAAGTCCTAGGTCAACTAGGAGGGGTCCTTAAAAAGTTCATGGAAAATGCAGTTATGAAAAACTTAAGCATGGATTTAAATATTTTTTGCGCCACATTAAACATCTTTGAATATTTTCCCATGAACTTTAAAATACCCTCGTATTAGGCCTATACTCGTGAACAATAAAGCAAAGCCTCTGAATGGAGAATTCAGAATTGGCTATAACTTTGATTTTGGGCTCCCCTAAACTTCAGTCATTTGTAAACCACTTCTGTTATTTTTACCACATATGACTACCACCCATAGTTTTGTTACCTAATAGTTGTCATTAGGTGGATACTTTAACCATTTTTTAGTTGTCCCGAGAAATGACTTTGAAATGATGGGTGTCACATATTTTGTTCTGATAAACATTGACAGAATGTAAACACAACTATCATTGGTATCATGCTTTAGGACTTGCTATTCAAAGCCATCCATGAGCCCGACTCAAAACATCTGGATAACCAGGCCTTCGGTTTCTGCAGTAATCCTGAGTAAATTCCTTTAAAATGACCTGTATATGCACTATTCGTATTTTCCGTCTGGATTGTTTTAAACTGCAGGGTAGGTGGGAGTCAAAAGCCTTTGATTTTAGGGCCTCTGCAGGGGTGCCGCAGTTGGGGAAGAACACGCCTAAGCGGGGCCGGCCGCCTTTCGGGCAACCGGCACGACACCTGTGCTTGGGCCAAACTCTGGCTGTCCCGAGTTCTCCGGTCAGTTTCGGAGAGCGCTCGTCCTTGAGCCCCTGCACCTGCGCGGCAGGCTCGCCTTCTCCCGGCCCGCCCCTTCCTCCGTCACGCTCCCTGGGGGCATCGAGTCAGTGCGGTCTGAGTACTCGCTGCTCAGCGTTCCTGTCGTCCAATACCTGGTCACCTGTGCCGTAGGTTTCTGCCTCGCAGAAGCAGAAATCTCAGTCCAGAGCGCAAGTACCGCCGTCAAGAACCGCGGTGCAAGCTTCCCTGAAGCGCCCGCCGCTTGGCTTGCCGGGAAATGGAGTACCTGGGCTGGCCTCTTCCGTCTCTCGCTGCCGCCGACAGCAACCGGAAGACTACAGTTCCCAGCATGCCCAGGGAGAGCAAGGATGACCAGGTCGGCTGCTCCACGTGACAACCCACTATGGCTTCCCAGTGTCTGGGCCCGCTGTCGGGTGGCTTGATGTGATTTGTGAGGTTTTTCCGGGAAAGTAGCTTCCTCACGATTTCGACATGCAAAAAATCAAGTCTCTTATGACCCGTCAGGTAAGTGTCGGCGGCTGAAGCCAAATCCTCCCTCATCTGGGTTGGGAGATGAGCCGAGATGTTCAGTCTCTGGGCCGTGGCGGGCAGAGACCCAAGTTAAAGGTGGTGGCAGGTGCCAAGGGAACAGGGGAGCCGTGGCACGCCCTGGAAACTTGCCTGAGCTTCCTAGATGGGAGCCCGGCTCCTGCGGCTGCAGCCTTCCAGCAACTGCTTCAGACGAGGGCAAGGAGGCAGTCAGAGAGCATCCCTGGCTCCCCTCCTCCCGCTTTGGTCATCTCTTCAGGACGGCCCCAGCTCCCCTGCAGTGTCGCCTGCATCCGGACTGTGTGTCCGCTGCGAGCTGGTGGCCTGCGGAGAGAGGTGGGGGTAGGAATGGCCTGGAACGAGTGAGAATAGCGGGAGATTCGGTAGCCTGAGATTTTGTGAAAGCCCCCAAACTTGCAGCTTAAGTTTCCTTACAGGGCTGAAAGTGAGGTTAATAATTATTTTGGTTTGTTCTGTCTCTGATTTTATTCGGTTCCTTTATGAGCCATGAATAAGCCAGCCAATGCATGTGAAAACTTTGGGAAATGCTACCCTAAAATTTTATCCTTGTCCAGGCAAAATGATGATATAAAAAAACACATAATTTAGGGTTTTAAATTAATGTGGCTTTGAAGAGTTTGGACAACATGGAGCATAGTCCTCTAGTGAGTTTCCCCCGTGCGGTTTTCTGTGGTTATTTAAAAGGGAATGCAAATTCCAAGTTAAATTCTTATTTATGAACTCAACTTGGGAGGTATTTGAGGATACAAATTGTGTACTTATGGTGGACAGTGCACAAATGATTCTTACATGATTATTTTACTTGCATTAAATTGCATTTAGGTAATGCCATGAAAATAGAAGTAATAAATCCCGTGCATAGTGACTTTTTTCAAAGTAAGTGATCAGTCACATTTGGCAGTCTCTCACCTTCGTTGAGCACTGGTGGTGTGCTTCCTAATGCTTCTTACTTGAGAACGAATTTGGGTCCCGCTTCATCCTGTGGTGGTTGTTTGGTTATGGGCAAGTTTAATACTTTATCTGAGCATCTGTTTCCACATCTTTAAAATGGGAGTGATAACGTGTGCCTCATGGGATTAGTATGGTAGTGATGTTTATGTGATATAATGAAGTTAAAATGGTAAATAAAGGGGTTAACTGTGCCTGGGCATGACCAAGGAAGTGCTTGGTTATAGAGATCGCCATTGGCTGTGTTGATGGTGGGAAAGCAGGAAGAAGTAACCAGCTGTACCTGTCATTCAGGCAATAGATTCTTTCTTTCTTTTTTTAATAAAGGTGCTTAACTTTTTTTTAAGGATTTTTAAAAATTTATTTGAGAGGTAGAGTTACAGACAGAGAGGGAGAAACCGAGAGAAAGGTCTTCCATCCATTCTCAAATGGCCACAAGCTGGGCCAATCTGAAGCTAGGTGCCAGGAGCTTCTTCCAGGTTTCCCATGTGGGTACAGGGCCCCAAGGACTTGGGCCATCTTCTACTGCTTTCCCAGGCCATCGCAGAGAGCTGGGTCAGAAGTGGAGCAGCTGGGACTTGAACCGGCACCCCGTCATGTAGTTCTTTGGGGCCCAGATTGTTACAGTTGTACAGCAGCTTTGGTTGTGTGTGTGTGTGTGTGTGTGTGTGTGTTTTATATAAGAGCTTTATTTGTAAAAGTGAGTAGGAGAGAAGAAACACAGAATTCCAAATGTCAGTAAAAAGTTGATGTCTCTTAAGTTTAATGGAATTGCTTTGGAAATGGTAGCTCTTAAGCCTCAGCCATTTGCTTATTGAACTTGAGGTTTAATTAGAATAGAAAAGAAATAACCAAAACAAAGCTCGGAAGAACATATGTCAAAAGTTGGTATTATACTGTAAAAAGTGGGGTAAAGTTTGGAGTTTTATGTAAATTTTAAAAGTCATCCTAATAATGTTTATGGCTTGCCTTCCACATACTTGATTATCTTCAGTGTATGGCTCATGAATCTGTGAGCTGTGAAAATAAGGTGCTGCCTAAGGGACTTTGTAGACTTTAATTAGTACTGTCTATTACTGGTTAAGTGTATAGTAGGACGAATAAATATACACAACATATTTCTTTTTTTTGAGGCTACTGAAAGTGCTAATAATATATGTTAAGTTCATGTGTGGAAGTACGCAGCTAAGATCTTGGAAGTTTAGGTTTTAGAGGATTTCATTTGTCCATGGTCTTTGTTTACACACGAGTGCTTTGTTGGCTCCGTTTAGATGGGATCTGTTGTCCGTCATTCCTCCATCACGCCAGCCTCTGTTCTTTCAGTCCAGTTAACAAATGATTATTGAATACCATGTGCCAGGCGCCTGTGGGAGTTTGGGACATGCAGCAGGGAACAGAACAGAAGAGTGCTAAGGCAGATGCGGCGACCAGTGCTTTAGCGGCCAGCAGCATTAGGGATCTGGGAGTTGTGGGCCGTTTAGGGTTACTTATAATTACAGGCAGGGAGGCCCTGGAAGTCCTCACTGTGACGATAGAGCCTCTGAAGGTGAGTAAGTGGGGCCTGTGGCTATCTGAGAAGGTGCGTTCCATGCGGGGAAACGCAGGTGCAGAGGCCCTTTGCAGAGGCCCAGTGTGAGGAGAAGGTGGCGGGAGGTGAGGTTGGGCTGCTGGGCTTGGAGAAGCTTGCAGGCTGTGACTTTCATTGTGGGTTAGAGGCCCTGCAGAGGAGGGAGACATCCCACCTAATGCTTCAGAAAGACTCTTCTGACCTAAGTCTTCTTTTTAACTTTTATTTAATGAATATAAATTTCCAAAGTACAGCTTATGGATTACAATGGCTTCCCTCCCCATAACTTCCATCCCACCCACAACCCTCCCCTTTCCCGCTCTCTCTCCCCTTCCATTCACATCAAGATTCATTTTCAATTCTCTTTATATACAGAAGATCAGTTTAGCATATATTAAGTAAAGGTTTCAACAGTTTGCACCCACATAGAAACACAGAGTGAAAAATACTGTTTGAGTACTGGTTATAGCATTAAATCACAATGTACAGCACATTAAGGACAGAGATCCTACATGAGGAGTAAGTGCACAATGACTCCTGTTGTTGACTTAACAAATTGACACTCCTGTTTATGGCATCAGTAATCACCCTAGGCTCTTGTTATGAGTTGCCAAGGCTATGGAAGCCCCCTGAGTTCACTGACTCTGATCATATTTAGACAAGGTCGTAGTCAAAATGGAAGTTCTCTCCTCCCTTCAGAGAAAGGTACCTACTTCTTTGATGACCCATTCTTTCCACTGGGATCTCACTCGTGGAGATCTTTCATTTAGTTTTTTTTTTTTTTTTTCCCCCCAGAGTGTCTTGGCTTTCCATGCCTGAAATACTCTCATGGGCTTTTCACCCAGATCGGAATGCCTTTAGGGCTGATTCTGGAGGCCAGAGTGCTGTTTAGGACATCTGCCATTCTATGAGTCTGCTGTGTATCCCACTTCCCATGTTGGATCGCTCTCTCCCTTTTTTATTCTATTGGTTAGTGTTTGCAGACACTAGTCTTGTTTATGTGATCCCTTTGACTCTTAGTCCTATCATTATGATCAATTGTGAACAGAAATTGATCACTTTCTTACCTAAATCTTTAGAGCAGACTGAAGAGGCAAAGAGTGGAAGCAGGGAGCCCAGTGAGGAGTCTGTTGCAGTGATCCACGTGAGAGGCTGTGGGCCTTCCTCGGGGTGCCAGGGGTGGGAGTGTTGACAAGAGGATGGTGGCAGTAGTCAGTGGAGAGGTGCAGGTGTCCCTGGTGCGTTGTATCTGGACTGTGAGGGGAAGAGAAGCATTGAGGATGACCTCGTATGGTTTCCAAGCTCCCACCCCTGGAAGAATGGAATTGCGATTCATGGAGACAGATGAAAGTGAGGGAGGAACAGACAGAGAGAAGGAATGTGCTTTTGAACTTGTTAATTTGAAAGTCTTGTAGATGCTGAAGTAGAGAACTAAAGTGGATGGTTGGCCAATGAGCCTGAATTTATTGAGAGAAGTCCAGGATACAGACTAAATTTGGGGAGTTACAAGTGTGTAGGTGGCATATAAGCTGGTCAGATCACCAGTGGAGTGAGTGGAGACAGACACGGAGTCCAAGGTTGGAGGTTTTGAGAACCTAGTGTTAGAAGATCAGGGAGGAGAGGTGGATCCAGCAAAGCAGAATGAGAAGGTGCAGCCAGTGAGATCAGACGTCTCTGGCATTCCAAATGACAAATAGCAGATGCTCAATCAATGTTGCTGAATGAGTGTTAGATCAAGAGAACAACCAAGAACAATGGCTCTCAGAAGCCAAGTGAAGAATTTAAAAGAGGAGAGAGTAAAGAGCTCTGTGGAGTTCTTGCGGATCAGCCCATTCCGGGGCGGGGGTGGGGGGTGGGGAATGAACGTGACTTGACTGCTGTAGGGGTCATGACGTTGGTGGGGGCAAAGCCCGATTAGGACGCTTTCAAAAGAACATAGAGGCTGACAAATTGGGAACTGATTGTAGACTCTTGAGTTTTGCTTAAAAGAGAAGGAAACGATCATGACAGGTGCTCTTTTTGATTTGTTAAGACTTGGGTTGTTGAGGCCAGTGTTGTAGCAAAGTGGGTTAAGCGGCCTGTGACACCCAGCATCCCATATAGGTTGTGGTTCAAGTCCTGGCTGCTCCATTTCCAATCCAGCTCCCTCTAATGGCCTAGGAAGAGCAGCAGAGGATGGGTCACGTGCCTGGGCTCCTGCACCCACAAGGAAACCCGGATGAATCTCCTGCTTCTGCTTTTGGCCTGGCTCAGCCTTGGCCATTTGAGGAGTGAACCAGCAGATGGTAGAACTCTCTGTCTCACCCTCTTTTTGTAACTCTACCTTTCAAATAAGTAAGTAAGTAAATAAATAATATTTTTAAAAAGACTTAGGTTGTTGGCTGCATAAATGGAAAATGAGGATTTGTATAGATGTAACTCTAGTAGTCTGAAATGTTAATCTAATTCAGGCAAAGAAATAAAGTGCAAAGGCAGGTATTTTTTATGAGGAATTTTGTTTATCTACTTATTTATCTGAAAAGCAGAAAGGGAGAGAAAGAAAGAGAACATGAGAGTGTGCAGCTATCCACTGGTTCACGTCCCAGGATTGGGTTGGGTTGGGCCAGGGCAGAGCAGGTGCCCAGAACATAATCCAGGTGTACCACGTGGTTGCCAGGAACCGAGTTTCTTGGGCCATCACTGCTTTCTCACAGGGTCTGCATTAGTGGGAAGCTGGAATCATAGCTGGGAACCAAACCGAAGCACTACGCTGTGGGATGTGGATATCTTAACCAGTAGACCAAATGCCTGCTCCCTAAATTTTACATATATTTAAACTGGGGACATTATCAAAACAAAAATAAAAAAGAAAATCAAATACAGATAATGAGTACAAGGCAAGCTTCAACTTAATAAAGACGGAGTAGTATAGTTTTGACCCTGGTTTGTGCTTTAGAGAAATGAAGATGAAATAAAAATGCATATTGGGTAGTAGAAATCTGTAAAACTGGGGCTGGCGCTGTGGCATAGCGGGTAAAGCTGCTGCCTGCAGTGCCGGCATCCCAAATGGGCGCCAGTTTGAGTCCCAGCTGCTCCACTTCCGATCCATCTCTCTGCTGTGGCCTGGGAAAGCAGTGGAGGATGGCCCAAGTCCTTGGGCCCCTGTACCCATGTGGGAGACCCGGAAGAAGCTCCTGGCTCCTGGCTCCTGGCTTTGGATCGGCACAGCTCCAGCTATTGCGGCCAATTGGGGAGTGAACCAGCGGATGGAAGACCTCTCTCTCTCTCTGCCTCTCCTTCTCTCTCTGTGTAATTTTGACTTTCAATAAATAAATCTTAAAAAAATCCATAAAAAAAAGAATTCCATAAAAAAGAAATCCATAAAACTGATAAAAGTTTCAAGATCTATCATGCTGAAGTATAGTTAAATGTAAGATGCTTTGCTTTAAGATAGTTACGACATTTTTAATTTCTGTTTTGATAACATAAAAACATTTCTTTGTGGTCATTTTAATGTTACACATAATGCTTAACTCTTATAGAATGCTTGTGACAGGGCTGGCTCTGTGGCGCAGAAGGTTAAGCCTCTGCCTGCAGTGCTGACATCACATGTGGGCACCAGTTCCAGTCCCAGCTGCTCCACTTCCCATCCAGCTCCCTGGTAATGCGCCTGGGAAAGCTGGGGAAGATGGCCCAGTCCCTGGGCTCCTGCACCCATGTGGGAGACCTGGGAGACGCTCCTGACTTTGGCCTGGCTCAGCTCCGGCTGATGTGGCCATTTCAGGAGTGAACCAATGGATGGAAGATCTCTCTCTCTCTCTATTTCTGCCTTTCAAATAAATAAATAAATAAATAGTAAAAAAGAATGCCTGAGACACCATTTTTTAGCTCCCCTTATACGTTATCTCTTTTGCTTCTTGTAATATCCTATGAGGTACCACTTTCTGACAACATAATACATAGTTTGGATAAGAACATTGTTAAGGACCACAGCAAGAGTCGGGGTAAAACTCAGGCGATCTGCTCCAGTGCGCATCCTGCAGTCACTCCACTCCTCCACTTCCTAACATGCTGGGGGAGTTCCGAGTTTTTTTACTTGGTTTGGCATATTTGGCAGACAGTTGCTGCATGGATGTGTTGTGTCCGACCTGGAGGTAAGACCTTTGTCTAGTCGTCAGCATAGATTACATTTATCTTTCAGTTACTGGTGTAGGAAGGAGATTAGACATGATGCCTTCTCCAAGGATTTCTGTTGGATTAGCTAAATCCGCACTTTTATGAATATTTAAGAGGACTAGCAATTAGACTTTACGAAAGATATTCTAAGGTGGTCATGATTTTCAGTCAGGTTAGAAAGACCTTCAGAGGTGTGAGAAAGTTATGTAACCCAAGCTTGTCTTCTTTACGACTACACTAGGGATGGCGGTCCCTCACGATCCCTCTTGGTGACAGAGGCAGACAAGGTAACCTTGCTTCCCTGGTCCACTCACCATAGGGCGTATTAACGCTCAGAAGGCCTTTGTTTTTCAGGCAAGCATTCCTGGAAACTTCATTTTGTAGTCACTTGCATGTCCCCATGGGAACAGTGTGCTAATTAGTTAGAGATTGGAGCCTGGGAACAGCCTCCACCTAATAATTTAGTCATTTCTTTGGTTGTTTACTCAGTTCCAGGAATTTTGGTAGCCTCCAGGTTATAGAGGAAAATAAGATTTGGTTTTGTCCTTCCATTGCGAATTAAGGTCTGAGAAAGAAAAGTGAGGTGTGTTTAAAATTGAAAGCGTCACGACTTTGAGATTCTGTCAGAGCATGTCTAGCTGTGTTTCTGAATTATTAGTGATCCTCTGAGTCACCAGGCGTGCTTGTTTACATGCAGATTCTTGGTCCTGCTCCAGTAATACCTATTCAGTAGCTATGTGTACGGCCCACGCATCTTATTTTTCAAAGCTCCCTGGAGACATGGGTGGAAATGGCTCATGGGCTGTGAGAAATATGGTGCCCTTTGCAGCCGGCTTTGTGGAGCAAATGATTCTGAAGGCGCATATTGGTTTCTCATCAGAGTGATGAATGTGCATGAGAGAGAGAGGTGGGGGAGAGAAGGGTGCATAAGTTAGATATTCTGGGAGTTTGGAGGATTTGGGTGTGAGGCAGAGTACTTTGTCATAGAAAATTATAAATATGACTGGTGGCCTTTTACATTAGTGAAGGTGAAACACATCTCTAATTTAACAGTAAGCAAGTTCAACTCCACATCTCGAAAGATCGCCATAAAGCACCCCATGCATTTTATTTTACTGAACACCCCAGAGGGCCAGAATAGAGCAAAAGGATACCTTGATTATATCATACATCCTCAAATTCATGGAGTAGTTAATTTTGCCAAAGGATTAATATTACAGGGACTTCTTATGTTTTAAAAATATTTTTATTTATTTATTTATGTGAATGATGAATGCTCCTATTCATAATTCACTCCCCAAACACCTGCAGTGGGTGGGTTTGGGACAAAATGGGAGCAGCAGACTCAACTCAGGTCTCCCAGGCGATGTCAGGAACTCAGTTGCTTGAACCATTTACCTGCTGCCTCCAGGGTCTGCATTGGTGGGAAGCTGGAGTCTGGAGTTGGAGCCAAGACTCAAACCCAGGCACCCTGCTGTGCCATGTGGGCTCTTTTTTTTTTTTTTTTTTGACAGGCAGAGTGGACAGTGAGAGAGAGAGAGACAGAGAGAAAGGTCTTCCTTTGCCGTTGGTTCACCCTCCAATGGCCGCCGCGGCCAGCGCGCTGCAGCTGGCGCACCGTGCTGATCCAATGGCAGGAGCCAGGTACTTATCCTGGTCTCCCATGGGGTGCAGGGCCCAAGTACTTGGGCCATCCTCCACTGCACTCCCTGGCCACAGCAGAGAGCTGGCCTGGAAGAGGGGCAAGCGGGACAGACTCCGGCGCCCTGACCGGGACTAGAACCCAGTGTGCCAGCGTCGCAAGGCGGAGGATTAGCCTAGTGAGCCGGGGTGCTGGGCCGCCATGTGGGCTCTTAATCACTAGGCTAACATCTGCCCCCAGGCCTTTGTTTTGGATAGCCTGTTTTTTAAAAGGCACTCTTTAAATTACCTCTTCTTTCTCTCTGAATAATTTCCCCTGGTACAAATGAGGCTTTCAGGGTCCTTCAGTTGATTTGAAATGAGAAAGTACAGGGTTCCAAAGAGCTAAAGAATCCATAGAAAGCAACAAGAGGTGCGATGTAAACCTTAATATTACAGCATGGACTGGATACGTTGGTGAGGAATAGTCAGGTAAAACAAAGGGACTATTTAAATATTCAATAAGCACTTAGCATTACTTATGAATCTTTGATCAGTGCAGTTGGTAAATATATATAGTGCATCCGTGAATCATGATACTATTGCTAGGACCTTTTCCCCAGCTGAATTTGGTAATTATTAAAAGGTAGCACTTTTACAGAATGCTTTGTTACCTGGTTCTTTGCTTTGGGGGTTTTAAAATCATGGTTGTGTTGGACTTCTGCATTAATTCTGAATGGGCCACGTAATACACCTTTGTTTTAAAAATACTAAAAGTATAACCTTATGTGATTTAATAAAGATATTTTATTTATTAAGCAATGATTATTTTTAGAGTATATGTTCGTATATCTTACAGCAGAGAAATTTCTGTTTTTAAAGAAAAAAGAAACCCACTTAGATGTGTCTGTCCTTTGACAGTTCTTCAGTGCACTTGCAATTCTTTTTCTCTTGTTATCTTTTTAAGGGTCTGAAAAGCCCTCCGGAGAGCCTCAGCGACCTCGGCGCCATCGAGAACCTCCGGGTCCCTGGAAAGGTATGGATTGAGGCTGGGGAACGTGGCTGTTTTCTTCCTGAGGGACATCTCCCTGCCTCTGCCTACAGCGATCCAGAGAGGCTTTTCTTCCCACAGCAGATGCTTGTTGTGGCAAGCCCAGGAGTTCTGAGGGCAGTGAGGGGATGGGTTGCTTCTGCTTTCGTTACACCTTGGGATGCAGGGTGACTCATAGGAGCAAAGCTGAAAATGCACAGTTGATAAGTTTGGAGTTTATTCTATCACATTCTTAGCTTGAAAGCAGCCTTAGACACACACACACACACACACACACACACAATTTTTGTGCTATAATTTGATAATTTACCACTAGTGTTTTAGACTGTGTCACGCTCAGCCAGAAATGATGTTTTGGGCAGAGGTCTTTGAATCAGCAACTAAAACATAACCTATTCTAAGTTGTAGATATTTTGATATTTTAGATTTTAATTTGTTGACACTCATGTGAACTTGTCAGGTTACAAATGGAATAAATGTGATTTCAGAGCCTGCAGGCTTCCTTCAGGTGGTCTGTTAGCTGCCATCCAGTCCTTGCTGCTCACTGCCGCCACCAGGAGCTGTGCGGGGCGAGGAGCTGGTCCGTCACACCCAGAGCTGCACCTCTGACCGTGGGCTCTTGTGATATTAAATGTGGGGATCACGTCGTCTAGTCCTGTTTGGTTTCTGGGTCTGGCGTCTTGAACTATAAGCTCCAGTTCTCTTGATGAGCAGTCTAAGGCCACTCCTGGCCCCGCCTTAGGTCAGGTCAGTGCTTCGGCGGGTGATTTCCTGCATTTTGAGGAGCTTTACCCCATCATGTGAATTTCTCTTTCACTGCTTAGCCTGTATGTTAGCTTAGACCCAAACATTCTCCCTAAATATAATAAAATTCTAAGCATGCCTTTTGCATACAATGATTTGGACAAAAATTTAAGAGACATATACAATATAGTAGTTAGTGAAGATTATTGGGTATGATAAAATTTTGGGAAATAGGAATCCTAAATCTTAATTGACAAGTAAGTCTCTTTATTTTCTTGATGTAAAAAAGATTACCATACATTATGAATATGCCTTGAATTAGACTGTATTACATGTTTCAGAATCAATGTCAAGTTGATGAGTGAGCCTCTATAAAAAAATGCTTGAATGCATTAGTAAGAACGTTCTGTTGTCTTTAAACTCTGAGCCTTGATCTTTCCCCAGTAGTGGTAGGAAGGGAGTTTCTGACCTCACTGCAGTATTCTACATGACCCTCCAACCCCGGTGCCATCAGTGACCTGTACTGTGTACGAATACCTGGTGCAGTGTCCAATTAGGATCACAGTCAGCAGTGAAAACAGAAGAGGTGAGATGAAGTCGGGGCGTTGATTTCTCAGGCACAGAGTAGAAAGCCAAGTTAGTGAGGTTGTCAAATCATTCATGGGTCCTAGTGCTGGACGCCGGTGCTTAGCCTTACACCAAGAGAACCTGGCAAGCTCCTCGCCCCTGTTTGCTGTCTGTGCACCGCTGCAGGGAGCAGTGCCTCTGCCTTCTCTCTCAGTGGTTTGGAGAACACTGGAGTTGCTGGGTCCAGAGCTGTAAAGCCCCCTTCAGCACATGGGTTTGATGTGGGGGAAGTTTGCCGTCAGTACTGAGGTTAAGAGTTAAGCAATTCCTTACGTGGTGTAGCTTGGGATAACTTTAATGCTAAGTGTGTTTTTCACAACTTTAGATGTGACTTTATGCTTCTCTCATAGACATATGTTTTAGATTATTTAATTTTATATAATCATATTTTTGAAAAGTTGTAACTAGTTCTTGATGGCCTGAAATTTGATGTTTGCAAAAAATGATTCTCATTCAAATTTTCAAAGTATTAAAAGCATTTCAACAAAATGGAAAATAATAATTTAAAATGACCTTTTCCTTTACTATAAAATTAAGATACTTTGAACTGAAAACATAAGCAGCAGAAAAGTACTTTAAAAATTATGAAATTACCAATGCAGTCAAGGGTAAGTTTGCCTTCTGGTGTTTTCTCTATGCATATTCAGCAACACATTTCGTGAGCATCTACTGTATGCTACACACTCTGCAGGGTCTGGCAGTACAGCAGTGAGAAGACAAAAGTCTTTCCCAAAAGGCACGACTTCCCCATGGTCAGGGAGCTTACTTCCATTCTTGTTGCTTAAGTGTGCTGTAAAGTTGGATTCAAGCAGTGCCATACCTTTTATAAGATTTTTCTATAAATTGTTTGAAATGTTCTTTGTAGTTGTAACTCACCAGGATTCCACTAGATGGCACTGAAAGCCTGAAGAAAAATAGAGTTGGGTTTAAAGCTGTTTCATTGAAAACACACACAGAAAGTGATGAAGCGGCTACCTTTGATGGATTATTATTGTTGTTTTAGGGAGATTTTAAGAAAATGTGCCATTTCCTCACATAATCAGACATCTGGCAATTCATTATAAACTTATGTGGAATATGGTTTTAGGGTAACTGTAGTTTGAAATAGATTTTGAATACTGTTTGCATAGCTCAGCTCAAAACTGTTTCTAGCTCAGTGATTTATGACTTTATAATACTGATTGAATATTGAAAACTTAATAATTTGTTCTTCCTTTTGGCTTTGTGTAGATTTTAGGGGCTGGCAGGTTTTATTTATTTATTTTTCCAGTCAACCAGAGTCTTGATGTCATATTAGCTTTGATAAGATTATGGCTTTTGTTGTTAGGATTTTGGTTTTTTCATGTTGACTGATGAAGAATAATGCAGATGTGCTGTAAGTCTTTGATGCGACTTGTTGTGGCAAAGCTAAATCCTAAATTCAGGCCACAATTTCTTTTTCTCCTACCCCCTGACTGGCACACAGAAAATGCACTTTGCTGTCTAGATTTGTAACTGGGTTTCTAATGTGAGCTCTTGTCTGTTAAGCTAATTACAGAAAGGGGAATTGGTTTGCATTTCGTTTTTAAATTCTATACATTTTCTGTAAGGTATTGAAACCTGACCTATGAAGTGAAGATTTGGCCATTTCTCAAGATTGTGAGGTTCCAAGCTGTTCTGTGGGTTTAAGAATTAGGCTAAGTTATTTTCACAATTCAAGAGCATATTGAGTTTGTTGGTGGGGGAACTGTTAAACTGTCATAGCTAACATTTTGCAGTTATAAAAGATTTATTTTTTTGAAAGGCAGAGTGACAGAGGGGTTGGCAGGGCGTGTGTGGGGGGAGAGATACAAAGAAATAGACAGGTAGACAAAGATCTTCTGTTCGCTGTTTTACTTCCCAAATGGCTATAACAGCCAGGATGGGCCAGACCCAAGTCAGGAGCCAGGACCTCCATTCGGGTTTCCCACATGGATGGCAGGGTCCCAAGGACTTAGGTCATCTTCCACTGCCTTGCCAGTTATCCGGAAGCCAGATTAGAAAGTGGAGCAGCTTGAGCTGTTTGATACGTGATGCTGGTGTCACAAGTGGTAGCTTAACCTGCCGTGCCACAGTGAGGGCCCCAGAATCGAAGGTCCTGAAGTTGAGTTGATATTTTTAATTAGCATGGTATTTTGGATAATTTGAGAGCAGTGGATAAATGCAAAATTTGTAGTCTTTTTATTCCCTCCTAAACCTGAATTCATCCCCTGAGGAGATAAACTCTTACGTGGGAAATTGCTTTGTAAAGTTATAGCTTTTTGGAAACTGTAAATATACGAGAAATATTTTATAACATCTTACAGTTGAAAGCCCAGATTGTTTTATAGACTTGAAACCCCAGTTCTCATAAAACCGTTTTGTTGTTATGTTGAGAGGGAAAATGCCTTGGCTAAATGATCGATAGTGCTGTAGATTTCAATGATGATTGCTTTTCTTCATTTTTTTATAAAGTTACACTTACGATGTGCATTTTTCCACACGTATTCACCCGGCTTTGTCTCAGAGATGATCAAAATAGGGCACAGATGAGGAAGTGGGACGTGTTACGACTGCTGGAGAAAACAGCCCCTGAAATACTGACAACAAATACTTGTTTGTTGTCTACTACCTTGCTGAAATCATCCTGCTTGGTTTGTTATGTTGAGAAAATAGAGCAGTAATGTGATTGTTGATAGAGCATCCGGCAACATGGCAGGAGCTAAGATGCTTTATCTTTAGGAAGGGACAAGTTTGGTTCTGATTAGTCTGTTGGATTTGTAAAGGTCTCAGTAGAATTTTAGTGTCTGGGCAGTGCGTTTTTTCTGCCCCGCAGGGAGCCACCCCTTAGGCTCTCCACTGTGGGGAGCAATTCGGACTGTACTGTTACTGGAATTAAGACTTATTCTATGCATCTGCTCTCCCACAATATGGCGCTGGGAGAGGAGAAAACAGCTTCTACCCAGCTGCCTCCAGTTCAACCAATAAACAGCAGGACTTGCTCCTGATTGGAGGAGAGCAGCGTACTCGGGGTGTGGGCAGCCGAGTTGGGATTGGCAGAGGAGGACTATAAAGGAGGAGAGAGACGGCATGCACCAGGAACATCTAAGGGGAACATCTAAGGGGAACACCTGTGCAGCCCCCGAGAAAGCCGGCCGGCGGTGTGCCGCTCCCCTGCGGAAGTGGGGAATGTGGCCAGGGGGAACTGCCCTTCCACGGAGGTGGAAGGGATAGTAGCCAACCCGGGAAGAACCAGCAGCAAACCCGGGGAAGGCCGAGCAGACGAAAGAACAGCGCAGGGTCCTGTATCGTTCCTCCGCGAAGAGGGGGAGCGACATAATGGTGCCGTGACTTGGATATGAAGCCTAGGCAGGGCTTAGTGTCGTTCCTCCACGAAGAGGGGGAGCGACATAATGGTGCCGTGACTCGGATAGGAAACCTAGGACGGATAGGAAACCTAAGAGGGAAGAAACGGGAAGAAATGGGAAAATACCGGAGAGAGAGACTAGCAAACAGCCTAGGGAAAAGCCGGACGAGAAAGGTGCCGGAAGAAGCTATTGAAAGCCTAGGCATAGACTCAGATACGGACTACGGACTACGGGGGGAAGCTGGGAGAA